GCTCTTCAGGTCGCCCTTCCTCCTCTCCAGCTCCCGCAGCACGTTCTGAAACGAGAACCGCCACGCCGCAGGCTGCTCGGGATCACAAGGGCACAGGAGCCAGGTTTTACTTCCTCGGGAAGCAAATAGTGTAAGAGATGGTCTTCACCTCCTTTGGGAGAAAACCCAAAGGAGCTAAAATCAGCTTCGATGTTTACTCGCTCTGAGTAGACATAAATCTGTTTTCTCAAAGAGTTCTTTTGCACAGTCATGCACCAGAGAGAATCTGAGTATCACAAATGCCTCGAGTTTGTCAGTACCTTCTCCCACAGGTGTCCACTTGCGGTTGGCAGTAATGGGGAAATGGGGGGGCCAGGCCTGGATGCTTCTGCCCAACACTTGCTACAGCGTACACTTGATTTGGTCACTAGATACTGCCCAAGGCCAATTGCGTTATTGGCTATACTTACCTATGTATGTATATGAAGGAAAGGGTATTTATTTAGCTCAAGTATTTTTTCTAAGCCATCTCTGGTTTTAAAGTTTTGTTTATCTAGAAGAGTGACCATCTGTGCAGAAATGCATGTTTAACATAGATCTCAACACACCATCTCTCGAACATTAGCAACTAAGCTACTACAATAAGCTACTTAGATATCTATTAGTACCAAATATGCAATAATATCTTTACTATTTCACTGGTCCTCTAAGTTTTTGAATTAAGACGCCTGATCTGAAATAGATCAACTCCAGGCAAGTACTGCATAAGATCTACCAAAAATACTACAAATTCATCATGCAAGGTTATTTTGGAACAAGCTACAGGGATTTAAATTCACAGAGCCTTCCACATAATTTTACCATAGTGTTAAAAATACAAACTTATTGTACACATTTTTAAAGGAGGCTCACCTTAGCCCAGGCAATTTCTGAATCCAGGTCAGAGAGCAAGCTCTCTGAAGTGGACTTGTGCACTAGCTCAGCCTCAGTGGCCGCCAGCCACTCCGACAAGGAGGCAGTCTCCTTCTTCATCCTGCGTGCCAGCTGGGATGCTCTTTCGAGGTCTTGTTTTCCTTCAGTCACCTATAAAAAGAGGCAACGGAACTTATTAAAACACATCTTAATAAGTATAACATTTCTTCTTGATTACGTAAAATCCGGGTCTTTCTCGATCTTTCACAAGGGAATGATCCTGAAAACAAAAATAGATTATAAACATCTGCACCTTAATATCTTAAATAGAATATATAAAACCTGAATAAAACTAAAATATACAGAATCCAGTCAGCCACTGTTACATATGTAAAATTCAGTTTCCTTTGATACATATTAAGCAGGCCCTATAGCAGGAAACAGTGAAGGAAAAAAAAACAACTGAAACCTTAGTCTGCCCTTGAAAAGATATCATTAAGGAGAACACAGGATATGATGCTTGTTTCAGTATAATCAGTTCTATCTCACACTAACTACACATTAATCCGGTTTAATTTGAACATGGATTAGAGAATTATTCCAACCACGGATGTCAGAATTGATTGGCGTTTACAAAAATTATCTTCCACCTCAATTTAGTGTTCACATATATACATTCAAAATCACAGTCTTTGAAGTTCTTTAAAAAATAAAGTCCAGACACATATACACAACCACAACATTATATCACAAGCCATCTGCCTGTGTCTCCTGAATTTCTTGTCCACATTATTTATGAGCTATATAGATATATAGGTTTCACTGGAATCTACATCTTTTTAAAGGCTGTCCACTTCATATCACTGCAACATTTTCTAGAACCCATTTCAAGTTGCTCCAGTAATATAATTTGGCTGCTTCACAGCTTCCCTCCCTGAACACGTCACAGCCCTGAGTCTTTGGCGGAGAGAGGAGGAAAAAAAAAAAAATCTATTCTCCCCTACTCCTGGCAAAGATTTATCCATTTTTTAATTATTTAATGTGGACAATTAACTACTCCATTACTAACAAAACTACCCCAAATGCATATTTCTTAGCAGTTCTTAGGAAATGTAGGGTTGCCTCCATACTCAAACTTCATACTGAGGATGACTCTGTAGACTATGAATAGAAACTATTACCACTCCTCCCAAAAAACATTTATGGACTTTAACTTCTCCCATGAAGAAGCAACTATAGGTATCTTGTAGGGTATTTTAGAAAGTATTTTTTTAAAAAAAACTTCTGTATTGTAATTAAATATCAGGGTGATTTTGTTTGTTTGTTTGCTTGCTTTTTAAGAGAGTAGTTGTAAACTGGTTCACAGACAACATAAAAGAGCTACAGTGCAAAAACAATGTAAGGAGTAGTAGGCCAAAATGCTGAAACCTCTATGAACCTTCCTGCCTTCAAGAATACCTGTCTTCAAGAATACTCCAGGATCACAGGGATTCTGCATAGCTACAGGACTGTTATCTGCAGTCTCTAATCTTGGATTGTTCCTGGATGCAGCAACTAGCCTATACAGATCAGCTGCAGAACCAGAAACTTAGAAAGAAAAAAAAAAAAAAAAAAAAGTACCTGTCACAAAAATAATAAAGAAGGGATTTCCTATATTATTTTTCTCACCTGTGCCCCCAAGTCATTGTAGAGGAATTTCAGTGCTGTTAGTTGTTCATCCATTCCTTTGGGATTATCTGTCTGTTGTTTCTGTACAATTTGTCTTCCTGTCTTGATGACAGTTTCAACTTCCAATTTCACCTCACTGAGGGTTTTATAGAGTTTCTGAAAAACATACATTTACAATAGCGATTACTTTATAGTTCACAGTTCAGGTGTTCCCATCTTGCTTGACTTTGGGCGCCTGCAGGGAACCTGATCCTCTGCATGCACTTGAGCTCTAAAGCACTTGAGCTCTAAATTGTGGATCAAGAATAAAGCAAAACAGGTAATGAGAAAAATATCTGTCAAGTATACTTCAAATTCCTGATGTTCGCTATTTTACTCTATCTTAAGATTTTTATAACAATATATAAATTTTATTATAATAGTTTAGCAGTATTTACTCCATAGCATCATCACAGTTGGCACTGCTGATCCTATGATCTACTCTTGATCTTACATGTAGTATTTTAACAAAACAAATAGGAAGAACTAATAAACTTGCCCCTGGAGTAATGCTTCCCCACAACATAGATTAACAATTTATCGTCACATTCTTGTCCAAAAGAATTACATACTGTTAATTAGCAATTGTTCTGTTAGTGATTTTTGGAAAAATGTAACAGTGTTTCCTTTTCTACAGGACTTTAAGATAAAATTTTCTGAGAAGAGAGAGTTTAGATAAAAAAGAATCACACAAGGAAGAAATAACCCCAAATGTGAGTTAAGAATACTGCATACTTAAGAACACTGCATACTTACCATGCAACTGTCCAGATGAGCTTGGATGACATCTGGGTCAGTATCCTTCACATCCAAGACATGAAGTTCTGCTTTTACACCATCCAATACCCTCTTGCAATCCAACATGCGCTGCTCAAAATTGGCTGGTTTCTGAAAAAGCTGATACTTCGTAGACACTTCCCGGAGTTTTCTCTGTTTTAACAAATATTCTGTTAAAAGCTTGTTTTAAAATAGTTTTAAATCAGTAGCTGTACTTTGAGGAAGAACAAAATTAAAGCATTTGTCCTCAGATTCTATTTCATCTCTCATGCCACCACAATTCAGTATTCATGTCAACACCATTTGCCAAGCAAAATTCCATCATCTATTCCAAACCTTCATTTACAGTGCAACAAAGCTGTTATTCTGTATCACACACTTCTAAAGTATCTATTCTAATCAAATGGGGGAGACTTCCTGCCTTTTGGCACTTCACCCATGATACTGATGAGATTTCAGCTTGCCAAACTCCTTATGAAATCATATGCCCATGCTGTTTGTTCTCAACATTTGCTTGACCAGCAGCGTATAATGCAAAAGTAAGGTTCTTCAAGTGTAAATTCTTAGAGTGACTTATGTGTTCTCACCTGCAAGGCATCCAGCTGAGTTGCACCACGGGGAGACCTGCATTCAGGGGAAGTAGGAGGGAAAG